CTCTATTTTATTCTGAATTCTTTATTCTCCATTCTCCACTATTCTATTTTCTATTCTGTTCTAGTCTGCATTCTATTCTGTCCTGTAATCTGTTCTATTCTAAATTATTCTATTCTTCTATTCTCTATTTTCTATCCTGTCCCTGTCCCTATCCCTATCCCAGGGATATTACTAACTAAATAAAAACATCCTTTTCTTTCGCTGGCAGGAGAATGGAGGTCAAGTGAGCCTGAGAACGGAGTAGCAGCAGCCGCGGCAGCCATGGCCATTTTCGACACCCCCCAGGAGGCCTTTGGAGCCCTCCGCCCCGCCTGCGTCCAGCTGACCAAGGCCCAGACGGTGGAGAACGTGGAGCGCCTCCACTCCCAGCTGGGGGTGGTCAGTGACTCGGCCCTGCAGGAGCTCCAGGAATACGTCCTTTTCCCTTTGAGATTCACCCTCAAGACCCCCGGGCCGAAGCGGGAGGGTGTAGTCCGAAGCGTGGTGCAGTGCATCGGCTTCGTGCTTTCGTCCACGTGCGTGAAGAAGGTGGATCTCCTCCTGGAGCTGTTCTCCGAACTCTGTGTCTGCCTGGCATCTCCCTCCAACCCATCCCAGCTGGCCCTGTTGTCGGAGGAGCTGAAGCGAGACGTGGGCCAAGCTCTGCTCGCCTTGCTCCACTCCGCTTATGGAGACATTCTTCTGTCTCTCTACCAGCCCTCCAGCCTTCCCCAGCTGGGCTTTGCCGTGTCCCTGCTTCTGGCCCTTGCCGAACAGGAAAAAGCCCGGCAGGTTAAGATCACGGCCTTGCGGTGTCTGCAGGCTCTCCTCCTGCAGTGCGACTGCCCAGAGGATCACCAGTCCCTAGAGAAAGAGGAGATGAGGCAGTGTGGAGATCTCTTTGCCTCCTTCCTCCCTGGGATCTCCATCACCCTCTCCAAGATTATCGCAGCAGACACGAAGCAAGGTCACGCCGTCACGGTCTCGGCCATCCGGCTCTTCTCTAGGACCATCGGTCTGGTGATGGCCGATGAGCAGCTAGCGGAGATCCCACCGGAGAGGAAGAAGCCAGCTTCTGAACAGAGCAAAATACAGATGCTGGTGGTCCACCGAGGCGCAGACTGGGCGAGAAACACCGCATCCAAACTCTCCATCCTTATCGAGAAGGTGGTTACATCTGGGTCCGCTCATCCCCACTGGAAGGTGCGACGGGAGCTGGTGGAAATGGCCCGCCTCCTCCTGACAGCGTGTGGGCGCTCTTTGGTAGACTCAGCGGGGCAGCTGTTAAAAGCCTTGGTAGGCCTTGTCAACGATGAGAGCCCCGAGGTCCAGCGTCTGAGCGAGAGGGCGTTGAAGGAGATGGCCGCGCAGGAGAGAGTAGCCGGGAACAGGCTCCTGGCCGACATCCTAGCTGAGGATCTGCACTCTCTGGCCACTGCCCTGCCCCGCTTAATGACCTCCCAGAACGACCAAGGCAAGATTGCCACTTTGAACCTGGTCCTTGGGTACCTGAAGCTCTTGGGCCCAAAGGTGAGTGTGGTTCTCCACTCTGCCTCCCACCTTCAGCGCCTCTCCAAGGCCCTGATGCAAGTCCTGGAGCTGGAGGCGAAGGACGTGAAGGTTGTGGAGGAGAGCAGCTGGGCCCCGGAAGCTTTTCCTCAGCCCACCCTGGGCCGCTTCCAGAGGAAGTACTTCCGCTTCTTCACAGATGAGCGGATTTTCCCCCTCCTGCAGCAGATTTGCCGGGCTCTGGGCACTTACGGGAATCTCTACCTGCTTGTGGATCACTTCATGGACCTGTACAGGGAATCCGCGGTGTACCGGAAGCAGGCCGCCATGGTTGTCAATGAACTGATTGCTGGAGCCGCAGGGCAGGAGGCGCAGAACGCTTTGCCGAGCTCAGAGGATCTCGTGGGGATCGTAACTTCCGTGCTAGAAGAATACGTGGACTCGGCAAACTGGCATTTGGTCACCCGCTTGGAGGTTCAGGAGTCCCGGGCTGAATCCGCAGCCACCAATGCCAGGCCCCTCGCTCTTACGTATGGAGCACCTAACGGACCTCTGGTGTCCCCCGGTTCGAGCCCCACCCTCCGCTGTATGAACAGCAACGTTTGGCAGATCTGTATCCAACTGGAAGGGATCAGCGGCTTTGCCTCTGCCCTGGGGAAGGACTTCCGCTTGCTCTTAATCTCTGCTCTGTACCCTGTGCTGGAGAAGGCTGGGGACGGCACGCTCCTGGTCAGCCAGGCTGCCAAGGGGACCCTGGCCGACATCTGCCAGGCCTGCGGCTACCTCTCCGTCCCTGAGCTCCTCAGGCAGAATGCCGATTACCTGGCCAATGGGGTCTCCTTGCACCTGAGGCACCCAGCCGATGAGCCCCACGCCTTGCAGGTCCTGGAGGCCATGCTCCGACACTCGGGCGCCGGGGGGGCCTCCTTGGTGGAGGACCTGGTTGAAGACGTCTTGGCCAGGCTGGATCAGTGTCACAGCGAACGGGCGTCTTCGTTCCTGGGGGCGCTACGGACCCTCATGGCCTCACTAGGTAACTGCGAATGAAAGGTTGGGAAATGTTTTTTTGAATGCCTCTGCTCCAGAACGTGCTGGTTTTGCCCTTAAGATAAACTTACGTTTCCAGCCCTGGTAGCATGTAGAGCCTTTAGACTTATATACCGCTTTACAGTGCTTTCCATCCCTCTCTAAGCAGTTCACAGCCTATTTGCCTGGAGCCTGGGGAGATTCAAACTGCCAAATTGCAGGCAGTCAGCAGAAGTAGCCTGCCTGCATTCTAACCACTGTGCCACGGCGGCTGTAGTAGTAGCCTCCAGATCTGTTGGACTTCAATTCCTATGTTCCCCAGCCAACACGGGTAATCCTCCACTTAATGGTTACTTAATGTTTAAAATGACGGCCAAATTTTTATAAAGATTACTTGCCACCTCTCCTGAGAGTTTTGACTGCCGTACCACCTCCTTGGTCACGTGATGGCATTTTGGGCATTTGACGGTTAGCATTTGTGATTGATTGATTTATTGCGCCATTTTCCAGCAAAAAATGCCCATTGAATAAGGCGGATTCGGAGTGACAACCATGTGCTTTGCTTAACAACTATGTGCTTCAGTTATTGACCATCATACGAATGGACATACATTCAAGTCAGATCGCATGCTGGCTTGACTTATGACTGCAGCAATGTACAACCAAAGTTCCTGGCTCTATTTGGGGTCATAAGTTGAGGACTCCCCGTATGCTTTTTTTGCTGCTCTGGAATCCACCCCCTTCAAGGGAAGAGAACAGCCACAGCAAACCAAGGGAGCCATTAAGCCTGCTCTTGCGTCTGATCGCGTTAAGAAGACGCTAGACCAGGTTTGGAGACAAAGTTTGGTGTAGTGCAGGGTTGTCCAACTTTGGGAAACTTTTAGACTTGTGGACTTCCAACTGCCAGAATTCCCCAGCCATGGGATTTGGGTGATTTATTGGTTGGAAATTGCATAAAATGTGAATGTAGCAATTGCGTTTCGTTAACTTGGGTTAAAAAATGTGTGTGTTCATCTCTTAAGCGTATTTATCTTAATTAATGAAACTCTGAATAGTGAACAAAGATTGTTTCTTACCAGGTAGAATTCAGGATGCTGGTTATCACCTATAAAGCCCTACATGCCACAGGGCATAGAGAGACGTCCTGTCTTCCAATCGAATCTACCTTTCTGGACTGTTTGGGCAGGGAGGGGGGCAGTGGTTAAAGCCCCCTCAGGTTGCCTTGTGAGAATGAGGAAGCGTGTCTTCTCTGTCGTGCTTTCTGATACCACAAAATCCTTCTTTACCTGGGCGACGTCATCCGCTGATTTAGGGTTCGAATCAACAGTGCGATGATACCCAGTTGTATCTTTCAACTCCAGGCCAGCCAAGCAAGGCTGGTGTGAGGTTCTGCCCCAGTGCCAGGGACCGATGTGGGTTTGCATGGGGAGGACTCCCCTCCAGCTCACTCCTACCAGGGCTGGGTGACTGGGTGTTTGGACTGCCCAGATCTGAAGACATTCCACCTTTCGCCTTAAATCAGGTGATGCTTCCCTGTTCCAAAGCAACACACGGTTTGTGCGTCTTCTGGACTCACAACTCCTGGTTCCCGGGCAGGTGACCGCTGTGGCCCGGAAGACCTTTCCACGGCTTCATCTGGCACACAAGTTGTGCCATTCCCAGATCAGGAAGTCATTTCAGACAGTCGCTTCGGAGTTGGTGGTGCTGGTGGTGTTTTTTCTCCAAAAAGACAATTGGACTTCCCTAGTGTTTTTCTTTGCAAAGCATCTCACTTCTCATCCAAGAAGCTTCTTTAGAATTGGAGATGAATTAATAAGTTAAGATGGGCAAGCAAATAAATAACTTCTTCACAGTTCTGAAGAAGCTTCTTGGTGAGAAGCAAAATGTTTTCAAAGAAAAACACCGAGAAAGCTGAGTTGCCTTTTTTTTGGGGGGGGGGCAACCCCTCCTTTGGGACAACCTTAGCTTGAATGATTGATTGAGAATCTCCCTAGACCTTCTGACTCACAGTTCGACTCGCCTCCTGGGGGGAAAAAACACCTTTGGGGCATCCATGGCCTGGATGACAGAGAATCTCCATAGACTTCAAGGTGCTGGTTGCTACCTCGAATGCCCTCCGTAGCACAGGGCCTGCTTAATTGAGGGACCGCCACCTCCCACAGCATCTGCCTGGTCGATTTAATTTTGCAAGGCTGGTGCTCTCCTCATTCCTTCTGTTAAACAAAGCCACCTCTCTGCATCCCAGAAGTCCCCCTTCTCTAGCAGCCCCTGGCCCTCTGGAATGAGGTTCCCCGGAGATTCGAACAGCCCCTATCTTATACTGGTGTTTCAAAGGGCCCTGAACCCCTGGCTGTTTGCAAGGGTGATTGAAGCCCTCCTTGCTTCTTTTTCTTTGTTTCCATCTGGATTTGTTATCTTTCTCATCGTTGTTCTTTTTTTTGTGTGAGCAGTTTTCTTAAATGTTTTCACGTTTTGTAAACTGCCCAGAGTCCCTGAGAGTCAGATGGCATATACAATTATTATTATCATCATCTTCACTAGACCAGAAAACGAGCAGCTGCTAAGTACAAGCTTCAAGCTATGTGTGTGTGTGCGTGCGCGCGCGCGCGCGCGAGAGAGAGAGAGAGAGAGAGAGAGAGAGAGAGAGAAGAGGGCGGGCGGGGCGGGGGGGGGGGGGCTATATATCAGTCTTACACCTTTTTACCCAGCCTGACAGTCTTTATATTCTGAGTGCAGGTTGTTCCTTGGCAGAGAAAAGCTTGACCTCCATGCATTTTTATTTATTTAATGATCAAATTTTTAAACCTACCACCTCACGTACATGAGTGGGCGGTTTTACAAATAAAAACAGAATAACAGAGTTGGAAGGGACCTCGGAGGTCGTCTCGTCCAGCCCCCTGCTCAAGCAGGTGACTTTATATGATTTCAGACAAATGGCCCCCCAATCTCTTCTTAAAAACCTCCAGAGATCAGCACCCACGACATCTGGAGTCAAGTCATTCCACTGGTTAATTGTTCTCACTATCAGGAAATTTCTCCTTATTTCTAGGTTTGTTCTCTCTTTTATTGGTTTTCATCTGTTGCTTCTTGTCTGGCCTTCAGACAACAGGTGGACCCCCTCTTCTTTGTGGCAGCCCCTGAATTATTGGATCCTAAATATTGGATAAGTCATATAAAAAGAAACACAGTTAAAAAAAAGGGCAGAAGGGGCCACCTTCAAGCCACCAACCTCCCCCAAGGCTGCCTGCCACTCTTGGACCCAGTGCCAGCTGGCAGAGCCAACAGTTGATGATCAGGGAGGGTGGGGCCTGCCTGCCCCTGGAGCAAGGAATTCCATCAGGGCAGAGGCAACCGTTTGTTCTTCTAATGGAGCTGCCTCTCTCCTTCCCCTTTATATCTGTCCCTGGTGCTTGTAGCCCTCCTCACCCCAGGGTGATGTTCCGAGTGCTTTTTTATCACCAATTCATCTCTGAGCCAGGTTGGAGCTTTTGAAACAGGGAGCTAATTGAATTGAGAGAACTTCCTTCCATTAATGGCTTTACTTGCATAACTGCAGGGCAGGCGAAACGCTTTCCTCAGCCTGCTTTCCCCAGGCTCTTTTCCCCAGGCTTACTTGGGCTTAGATCCTTCCGTGCTACGCATTAAATTAGGCAGCAAGGGGTCTCCAGCGTTTTTGGTCTTCCGGCAAGTTCTTCAGCATCCTCCCAGGTGATTCTCCACCATGTATTTTGAAAGCTTCCCCTTGGTCGTTAGGCATTGTGTGTGTGTCTGTCTGTCTGTCCCATTGCCACCTTGGGGAATCAATTATTCTCCAGAAAATATGACCTGTAAGTTGGAATCTTCTGCATGAGACAGTTTGCAGGAAAAACTCTTGGATCACTTTATCGTTAGTAATATGGTCAGAATAGCAAAACTTTAGGGTTCGTCAAAGGCCTCTATGTTGGAAGACATCAAGTCTCTTTTTTAATACTTGCTGATGGCTTCCACGTCCCGCTGGCATAATTGGCTGTCAGGATCACTAGAGGTGAGCAAAGGGAGCTTTAAGTTTCTCTGGATGGAAACTAATCAAAAGAGAGAAGCAATCTGGAACTAAGAAATTTCCTGAGAGTGAGAACAATTAATCAGTGGAACGGCTCTCCTGAAGGCTTGCGGGTGCTCCCAACACTGGAGGCTTTTAAGAGGAGATTGGACAACTGTTTGTCTGAAATGGTGGAGGGTTTCCTCCATGAGCAGGCTGTGGGACTGGAAGACCTCTAAGGTCCCTTCCAACTCTGTTATTTTGATACAGAGGATGAGGACTAGAATGTATTTGTCCAAAGGTTTTTCCCAGATGTTGGTCTGAAATTCTCACCCATCCCGCCTTGGATCCAGGAGGCCCAACTGCATTTTCCTCTGCTTGGCAGCTTCCTGGTTTGGGCCGGAGCAGGAAACCCAGCACAAGCCAGAAGGTGGTTCCTCCTGCCCGTGGGCACCAAGGCCGGCCAACCTGCCCACTGCAGACGAAATGGAGGAGTTCTTCTCGGCATACGTGAAGCAGAAGCAGGTCGCAGAGGGGGATGTCGAGGAGGAGGAGGAGGAGGAAGGTTGGTACAGCCATAAACGTCTTGGCCTGGGGTTGGGCAGGGGGGTGGGCAATGCCCACTCGTGGAGTGGCTGAATTAGTGCCTGGTCTGAGCACCCACAGCTGTTGGGCTGACTGTACAACGCTGGCAAAGCAAGCTTTCCTTCCGCGCCCCCACCCTCCACTGTGCCCACAGCTGTGGCCTCTTGCCTCCCCAGAGGATCCTGCAGTGCAGCCCGGAGCACTGGAAGAGCTTCCTGAGGCGGACAGGCCGTTGCCCTTGCAAGCCAAGATGGCGAAAGATGTCCTGGAGAGGGCCATCCACTTGCTGCCCAGCAAGAGCCTCGCAGTGCGACTGAAGGTATGTCATCGACGCAACCAGCTGCTCTCTGAGGCTGCCAAGCCCGCAAGGGTTTCCCTCACACACACGCACACACACACACACACACACACACACACACACGGGGCAGCCTGTCCTTGGCTTTGGCTAGTGCAGGGTGACCTCTTCCTACACCTACCCAGGTGTGTTAAATCCTGCTCCAAAGCCCAACCCAAGTTGTTAAGCAGGGAACCAGGTGTAGCTGGGTGCCAGTGAGGAGACAGAATCCAGATCTCTCTCGATAAAACGTGTTTACCTGAACAAAGGTGGGTCCTCCATAACGGGTCGCCAACCTTTTGGACCTCAGGGACCACCAAACTCATATTTTTAAGTCCCAGGGGCCACTAACCGGTTCTGTGGGTGTGGCCTAATTTGTGGGTGTGGCTTGGTCATGTGACTGGCTGGGCACGGCTTATATGTAAATATTATATAAATATTGAATTTTGTATTTAAAAAAAGAGCAACTTTTACCCAAAATCAGGCAAAGCAGGCAGGCAGATTGAGTTGCTCACAGAATCACAGATTCATTCAGTGATCTATCTATCTGCCATCGGTTACCTGAGTCTGTCCCATAAAATTTGCTTGCCATGAGTCTGCAATGAATAATAGAAACTTCAGTCCTAAGGGAGGTTCGTGTGTGCTTAAAAGCAGAGCCAAAGACAAGCTAGAAAGCAAGAAATCCAACCATTTCCTGCTTCCTAGCTAATCTAAATCTCCCGGCACAGCAGAACAGATGATGGTCGGAAAAAGGAAAAATAGCAACTTTAAGAGGCAAGTTTGCCAGGTAAGGATTTGAGTGGGTGGGGAGAGTTCCCGCAGGCCATGTGGGCGGCGCAGCCTTGTGTTTCTGCGCAGCCTGGATTAATTGCTTTGAGGGGCTGCTCTGGGGGTGAGATTTCTCTGCGGCCCACCGGTTGGCGACCGCTGCTCCATAAGGCTGGAAGGACCCCCAATGCAGTGTGAATCAAGAAGCCAGTGCACGACAGATGAAAAATACTCATGTACGCCTTCTGTGGTTTTGAACACATGTTTAACCCACAAGCTTGTGGTTTCCTATGGAACTTTCCACAACTCCATAGCCTGGACATTCCTTCCTTCATCTCAACCTATGTACCTTTTAACTGGCCATCGGAGTCATCAGAATCCTGGTCAACAGAGTGGCAGGTCCTTGTCAGGCTGAGGAGAACCTGACCTTGGGAAGGAGAAGGCAGACTTATCCCAAGCCTGGTCCACCTGTCCTCGGCATTGAGGCCCCTTATGGAGTTCCACTCATCTTTTCCTGCCCCAAAAGGTTCTCACTGAATTGGAGCTAGAGGAGGAGGAGGAGGAGGACAGTTGGCTGCCCCATGGCCTCCAACTAAGGCATAATGGGACTCTCCATCTTCCTTCTTGCTTGGTCTTTGCTTAAACCTCTTACTGTCCCTAAGGACCGAGCACATGATAGACTGTGGTGCTCTCTGAGCTTGACGGTTTCCTTGCAGGCGTTTCATGACCCAGCCAGGTGACTTCGTCTGTGCTAGAATTGGGTTTGCAGAAAGGAAGAGGAGGACGACTGGGGGGTCCTTGGTGCTCCCCGAGATTTGTTACTGCAAGCATCTCATGACCCAAGTAGGGAACACCATCCGCGGTAGAAGGGATGGGGTTTGTGCAGGGCAGAAGAGGAGGAGGACTTGTGGGGTCCTTGGCTCTCTCTGAACTTGGCTGTTTTCCCCAACATCACCCCTTGTCTCTCTTAATCCTGGCATGTTCATCTTCTGACTCTGAGGCGTCTCCCGATAGGCTCTCGAAGTCCTCGAACTCGGCGTGGTGGTCCTTGGTCCACACAAGAATGTGCTCCTTCCATTGGCGCATCGGGGGTGGCCTGCTCTTGTTTGCCGCTTGGTTAACGACGACCCCTTGGCTGTTCTCGGAGCCTTTAAGGTAAGGCGAATCGACGTGTCCCATTGCAGGATCCAATCTGGGTCAGTCACCGGGACCAGAGGTTTAACCTTCCGAGCATTTGGACTCATGATGGAGCCCATCCTCTCCCTCCCTCCCCCTCCCCCTCCTCGCTTCTTTCTCTCTTCTTTCTCTCTGGGAGGAAGGAGAAACAAGCACAGAGAACGGGGAAATGAATCACAGAACCCCAGGAAAGGTTTTCCAGTTCTCCAATTCAAGCCTTGTAAAGTTATCTTCTTTAATTGTGGCACATCTGGCTGTTAGGTAAATTTCCAAATATTTTACTTTCTTAACTACCTGCAGGTCTATTTTCTTTTGTCAGTTCATTTTTTCTGTTTATCTGTAAGGTTTTTAGCTATGATTAGATAATACCGGTAGAAATTAGAAATTGGAAGAATATCATTATGTACAAGTAAAGAACGTTATTACTCTTATTATGTACTTGCAAATTGACTCAGGCGATGCACTGCTCATTAAGCGCTTACGTATGTTAAAGAAAAATATAAATGGAAACTAATAAAAGAAGAAGCCCTGGAAAAGAGCTCTCTCCTTCAGTTCAGCCCAGGCAGGGTCTCCTCTCTGGGGATGAGTGACCAGCTGGAGGGCTTCTTGGCAGGTGCTGTGCACTCTCGGAGCCCACAGTGGGGATTTCCTCAGGAGCCGCTTCTCCAAAGATGTCCTGCCAAAGCTGGAGGCCTCCCTTGTCGCCCAGGCCCCCACCAGCGCCCAGGCCGGGCCCGTCTACAGACACACCCTGGCCTTCAAACTGCAGCTGGCTGTGCTCCAGGGCCTCGGGTCCCTCTGCCAGGCTCTGGATCTGGGTAAGTACCAGGAGTGCCATGTAACCGGGGCTGGGATTCTCCTGATTTCGGCAAACCCTTTGTGTCACACCCCCCCCCCCCAAATCCCTCAGCTCCAGTCTGGCAACGCTGAAGCCTGAAAATGGCCTCGGCCAGGTCAGCCTCAGGGTTGACCTGTATTATGTGGAGGACCAATATGGATCCAGCTCTCTCTTTCTTCCTTTATCATATGTACATAGTGCCCCATCCTGGGGAATTCAGCCCTGCTGGCAAAAGCACCACAGGTACTCCTCGACTTACAACAGTCTGTTTAGTGACCAAAGTTACGATGGCACTGAAAAAAAAAAAGTGGCTTATGGCCGTTTTTCACACCTATCAACCGTAGCCGCATCCCCACGGTCATGTGATTTGGACTCTTGGAAACTGGCATGTACTTACGACGGTTGCAGCATCCCGGGGGAGCCACGTGATCCCCTATTGTGACCTTCTAACGAGCAAAGTCAATGGGGGAGCCGGATTCACTTCACAAACAACTGCAGTCACTCACTTAACAATAACTCTGGCGACAAAGGTCCTAAAATGGAGCCAAACTTGCTTGACTGTGGTCTAGCTTAACAGAATGAACATTGGCCTCAATGGCCATCGTAAGTCGAGGACTACCTGCAGTTGACTCTGAGGAGAGACCCTCCCCTGCATTTCTGTTGCTGGCCTGGCCTGGCCCCACTCAAGCAGGCTCTCTAGGGAGAGGGAGGGTGTGAAGGGGCAGGGGCAGGAGGGGGGCGTGACCGAGCGGCCCCTCCTCTGAGCCACCCATCTTAACTGTTTTCTGCAGGCGAGAACGACCTGAATACGGTGGTGGATGCCTGCCTGCCCTACCTCAGCGCCAGGCAGCCTGTGAGGCTGCAAGAGGCTGCTCTCAGGTAAGACAGGTGTGCCTGCAGGCTGCAGAGCCTCAGGGCTACCATAGGAACAGCTGTCCCAGATTCCCTGAAGGCTTTTAAGAAGAGACTGGACTGCCATCTGTCAGAAATGGTGTAGGGTCTCTCGCTTGGGCGGGGGGGTTGGACCAGATGACCTATAAGGTCCCTTCTGATTCTGATTATCTGTTAAAGATCTGAAGCAGGGGTCCCCAAACCTGGCCACTTTAAGCCTTGTGGACTTCAGCTCCCAGAATTCCCCAGCCAGCATAATTCCAGCCTCCGGTGGCCTAGAGGTGGAGCTCTCGCCTCACAGTCAGGAGTTTGTGAGTTTGATCTCGGGTAGAGGCAGATATTTCTCTCTCTGGGTCCACTGAGAAAATATCTGCTGGGGATATAGGACATACTATAAATATCTGCTGGGCGACAGGAAGGGCATCCGGCCAGTAAAACACACTGCGAGCTCCGTTCCAGTTTCCCAGACTCCACCCCACGGGGGTTAACGGGGCCCGTTAAATGACGATGGTGATTCTGGTCGTAAGTCAAGGGCTACATGCCAGTTGCCAAGCATCCGAATGTTGATGACACGACCACGAGGAGGCTGCCATGGTCATTAAGTGTGAAAAGTGGTCACCTTGTCAGTGCCATTGTCAGTCAACGAACGATGGCAAGTCAAGGGTTAACTGCTCGGATGCTCCCCTATCCTTCCGCTGGAGGCAGCCGTGCAGGTGACAATCGCCCTGCCGTCCTGCTGAATCCCCTTAGAGACATCGGGGTGCAGCACTGACCGAGCCAGCGGGAGCCCCCTGGCCTGTCCCCAGCTGCCCTCCCTGTTCAGCGAGGGTCTCTTCTGGCCTTGGCGGGCGCGAGTGAGCCACAGCACCGGGCTAAGCGGAGGCAAGCTGGAATCGATCACGCCTAACTGAACAAAGTGAACGCGATCAGAAGCACACGCTGGGTTCACACACACACACACATACACCCTCCCGGAATCTTTCGCCGTGGAAACACAGGTTGCCTGGAAACTGCCAGAGTCGTCATTTTAAAAGGCTGCAGAAAGCGGCCGAGTCTCGAAGTCCTTTTTTTTTTTTTTTTAACCTTCAGAGGCTTCCAAGCCAATGGAAAGAGAGGTTGGTCTCTGACCCCAGCAGGCCATCAGCCCCTCCTTGGTAAGGCTTGAGTTTCACTCCTCTGGACCCCCAGCCAGGTGGGAGAGTGGGTGGGAGGCAGGATTGAAACCTCAAAACAGCTGGTGGCAAGGCGAACGGAACGGTTTGCCTTCAGAAGTTGTGGGTTCTCCACCATTGTAGGTTTTTAGGAAGAAAAATCTTCTGTCTGGAATGGTATAGGGCAGGGGTCCCCAAACTTGGCAAATTTCAGGCTTGTGGACTTCAATTCCCAGAATTCTCTAGCCAGCTGTGTCTTAAAGTTGCCAAGTTTGGGGACCCCTAATTTATAGTGACCATTCAAAGTTACAACGGAAGTGAAAAAAGTGACATGACCATTTTTCACCCTTACGACCCTTGCAGTGTGCCCCTAGTCACATTTATGATGGTTGCAGCGTCCTGGAGGAATTCTGGGAGTTGAAGTCCACAAGTCTTAAAGTTGCCAAATTTGGAGGCCTCTGGTATCCTGCGTGAGCAGGGGTTGGACTAGAACAGGGGTCTCCAACCTTGGCCACTTTAAGACTTGTGGACTTCAACTGAAAGCTGGCTGAGGAATTCTGGGAGTTAGAAGTCCACAAGTCTTCAAAAGTTGCCAAGGTTGGAGACCCCTGGATTAGAAGACCTCTAGGGTGCCTTCCAGCCCTGTTATTTGGTTCTGTTCTGTTCTCCAGAGCACCTGAGGGCAGGGCAGGTCAAGAAGCAATGGGTGAAACTTGGTTAGAGAGAGATCCGGTCTGGAAATAAGGAGGAGCTTCCTGATTGTTAACCAGTGGAACAGCTTGCCTCCAGAAGTTCTGGGTGCTCTGTCACCTGAGGTTTTTAAGAAGAGATTGGACAGCCATTTGTCTGAAATGGTATAATCTCCTTGAGCAGGGGGTTGGACTAGATGACCTCCAAGGTCCCTTCCAACTCTGTCATTTTGTTAATCTACTTGGAGACATGTGGACTTCAACTCCCAGAATTCCCCAGCCAGCCTAGGGCAAGTGTTTCTCCGCCTTGGCAACTTGAAGACTTGGGGGCAATGCATCTTGCTTCTCTCCTTCCCTGGGTTCAAGGATGGCCCCCGCCTGCTTGCTGGAAGCACCCAGCGTCCCTCTGGATGGGATTTTTGTCAGGGGGAGGAGGAGGAGGAAGAAGAGGAGGAGGAGGCTACAGTGAAGGGGCTCACAAGAATCCATTGTTTGGTGTCCCTCTTTGGAGTAAGTTTGGCACCTCTTCATAAATGCTACAGCAGCATTTTTGAACATTGGGAGCTTCAAGAAGGATGGACTTCAACTCCCAGAATTCCCTAGGCAGCCTTGCAATTAAAAAAAAGGGGGGAATAACTATTTTTTTCCAACTTGGTACATAATTGTCCATGAATAAATCCTTACTATTTGCCCTGAAGAAGATTCCTAAATATTTCACATTTTTTGCAGTAAAATCCATCTGTGTATAAATTGTTTTGCATTTTCTGCCCATATCAACCTCTTAGTTTTCTCTTCATTAATTTGATTGCCTACCATTGAAGTTTATTGTTGTATATGTCCCATCAACGTTATTACAGAGGCTCTAGTAGCAATAGCAATATCACTTACATGCCACTTCGTAGTGCTTTACAGCCCTCTCAGAGCGGTTTACAGAGTCAGCATCTTGTCCTAAAACAATCTGGGTCCTCATTTTCCCTGACCTGGGAAGGATAGGAGGCTGAGACAACCTTGAGCCCGTCAGGATCAAACTCCTGACAGGGACCAGAGTTTACCTGCAGTATTGCATTCTAACCGTTGCACCACCACGGCTCAGGAAAGAAGGAGGGAGGAAAATGTTGCAATCGAAATAACAGTTATCTACCACTCCACAGTGATTTACACCACCCTCCAAGCACTTTGCAGAGTCAGCATCTTACTCCCAAACAATCTGGGTTCTCATTTTTAACCGACCTCGGAATGATGAAAAGCTGAGTCAACCTTGAGCTGGTCAGGATCGAACTGCTGGCAGTGAGCAGAGTTTGCCTGCAATGCTGCCTTCTAATCACTTAATCAATTAAGCTGTTGTTTGTCAGGATTCCAGCAATCGCCCTAATGAAATCATGATTCTCGAGCCAAACTTCAAAGGATTCATTAGAGGCGACACCCTGGCCCTGCCCTGTATGAAGCCAACTCTGGCCTACGTCATTTCCAGTCCCCTGGGACCCTGTTTCCCCCCCTCCCCCCCAGGTGTCTCATAAACCAGGTTCTCCTATTGAGCACCTTCACAGGCTGGGTGTCATCAATCACGTTCTCCAATTAAATATATTCCCGGGCAAAAGCTCTGGTAGTTTAGCTACAATCTTTTAAAGAGAAGAGTTGGAATGTACTTCCGCTTCCAAACTGCTGCATGGCTCTTCCAGGTTGCCTTCCTCATTTCCCCCCCCCCTTTTTTTTTTTTTTCCTTATGGCAACTACTAAAACAGGCCTAGGAATGTTTGGTGAGTTGACATTGTTAGAATAACATCCTGGGCGCCCCCCCCTTCCAACACCAGACATCGATACCTGTCTGAAACGGTCGCTTACCTTTCTTGGTAAGCCAAGATAGCAGAGACATTCCCCTTACTGGGGTTTCTGGGGAGATGCAGCCATGCCAGGGTGGCAGAGCCAGGCTGGCTGGCCGCGTCCTCCGTACGAGACTCTCACACGTGGCGGAGTTAAGTCCTAAAGGCGAACGGGTGGCGGGGGGGAGGGAGATGGGCTGCAAGAGGAAGTGCCTTTTTTGCAGAGTTGCGGAGAGAAACCAAACGCAGGAGCCAAATCACGGCTGAACTTCCTGGCTGGCATTTCTCAGGGGGACCTCAAGATAACGGAGGCTCAGCTCATTTCATGCCCCTCCCGGTTTTTGTGGGCGTGGTTGGCAAGACAAAAGTCAGCTGGCGTTAAGTGGAACCATAACAGGGCATGTTTC